AAAAAATACCTAGCCATCCATTACTGTACACAGAAGTTAAAAATAAACCTTATTTAAAAGTCAATATTTAAGGCAACAACGATATGCTATAAAATACTGGTTACTTATCAATTACAAAACAGCTAATAAGAAAAAATTTAATATAGTCTTTTATGAATTTTTAGAGAGAGAGGTGTTTTATTCTAAAAAACTTGAGCAAAAGCTGTATTTTAATTGGCTAAAAAGAAAAGGGAGAAAATGGCATTATTACAAGACTATTACTAATAAGGCATTAATGAAAGACTAACGTCAAAATATTATTACCTAATTTAACAGGAATATCTGTTTTAGAAACTGATCTCCTTGTTAGCTTTTGTCTACCAAACTAAATAGATTTTTAAACAAAAATAATTAAATTTTTATATATCTTAGGCTTTTATTATTAAAAGGGTCATCTTTTGTAGGTTTCAACATATATCAGCTTAATGTGATATTTACCTAAATAAAGTGGCTGGTATACATAATTTTAAGTTACCAAGTCTGGAAGGTCAACCAAAAGTTTCTTAACATATTTGCTTAAAAAATTAGGCAACTACTGTACATTGTAATAAAATACTATATATTCCACTAACATATCTCAATATTTAACTCTTTCGAAATTAAGAAATGATTCATATTTTAGTATTTTACATTAACTTACTGCTGGTTTCAACAGAAACTTGCGAGTACGATTGGGGAAATCCAGATTTTTGGGGACCTGAAATACCTTCGACATTAAAGAACACATTGAACAACAAAAACGTAACTGCCTGCATGCCAGAAGACTGGAAATTAAATAAAGATACTGGAAACTATTGTGGCCCTAAGATTATGTCAATATGTCATGGCAATGAGTTTTGGAATGGTCGTCAGGCATACATAGTTAAACCCTTAACTTATGCCGAATTTTTGGACCATTTTAAAGCTCCACATAATTTATATGAGAGAGAAAAACCTGAAGATAAATGGTTAGAAGTTGTGGAGCCTGGAGGAGGATGTGGATGCATAGACGTAAGCGATAAATCTTATGAGCCTGAGACCTCAAGTAAATGGGAAGTGTGTCCTGACGGTGTGCACCCGTATCCTCTTGAATGTAGCCAATATTATTCATGTTCAAATGGTAAGTCTACCCTTCAAGATTGTGGCTCTTCTTTATATTTTAATGGACTTGTGTGCGATTATCCTTACTTGGTGGATTGCCGCCCAATTCCTAACCCTATTGACGGCGGTTGGTCTGAGTGGACAGATTGGACAGCTTGTACCGAACTCTGCGGAGGGGGAACTCGTAATCGTACTAGGGAATGCAATAACCCATTACCAGCTTATGGAGGAAAAGATTGTGAAGGAAGCAATATTGATCAGGAAGCGTGCAACGAGAGCCCATGTCCTATTAATGGCGGTTGGTCTGAGTGGACAGATTGGACAGCTTGTACAGAACTCTGCGGAGGGGGAACTCGTAATCGTACTAGGGAATGCAATAACCCATTACCAGCTTATGGAGGAAAAGATTGTGAAGGAAGCAATATTGATCAGGAAGCGTGCAACGAGGGCCCATGCCCTATTAATGGCGGTTGGTCTGAGTGGACAGATTGGACAGCTTGTACCGAACTCTGCGGAGGGGGAACTCGTAATCGTACTAGGGAATGCAATAACCCACTACCAGCTTATGAAGGAAAAGTTTGTGAAGGAAGCAATATTGATCAGGAAGCGTGCAACGAGGACCCATGTCCTATTAATGGCGGTTGGTCTGAGTGGACAGATTGGACAGCTTGTACCGAACTCTGCGGAGGGGGAACTCGTAATCGTACTAGGGAATGCAATAACCCACTACCAGCTTATGAAGGAAAAGATTGTGAAGGAAGCAATATTGCTCAGGAAGCGTGCAACGAGGGCCCATGTCCTATTAATGGCGGTTGGTCTGATTGGTCAGCGTGGTCGGCTTGTTCTAAAACTTGTGGAGGGGGAGTCCAATATTCTAGACGGACTTGCAGCAATCCTAAAGCGGATATCGGTGGCGAACCTTGTACAGGGCCTGATGAGAAATCTCAAGTATGCAACCAACAGGAATGCGCGTCAAAAAATAACCCTAGTTCTGGCATAATTGGCGGAGCAGTCGGAGGAGTAGTAGGCCTGGCTGCTTTGGGTGCTGGAGCGTATGTGCTTAGAAGAAAGTTTATGAAACCCAAAGGCTTAGAAACTTCTGAACAAGAAAACCTCGGAAGCTATTATTCTAACCCTCTAGGCGATGAGAAAAAGTTTGAATTTTCTAATTACTTGGAGGAGTAATGAAGTTCTGCAATTAATAAATTTTTTTTGTTAAATTTATAGTTTTCGTTAGCAAAAAATTAACTCTTAGTACTCACCTTTTTTAAATCATTGTTAAGTGTTATTATATTAAAGGAGTTACACAACACCTTAATAGGCCATAAATAGTAAATGTTATTATGTAACTATATTTTTATATTACCTACAATATGATAATTAAGTTTACACTATACTGCATACAACCAGCTACCATTTTATGTTAATATACTTGTCTTTTCTCAATTTATAATGCAATTTTTAGGAGCCATTCTTTAGTAATTTATAATTAAAAACTGCTTGGTTTGTCAACTAATAAAAAGTTATTCTGACCTTTTCTTTTTCTACTTAGCTTAATATTTAGAAGTGGTTTACAGTTAGGCGGTTTTTTTTTCTTCTTTCCTTTTTGCTTATTAGTTTTTTATACACATTTAGATATATTTATGTATATGGTTATAAAGTTACCTCCGCGCTCCCCCTACTATTTGGCTTTAAATCTTCAATTGGCAGTTGATAGGGCGGGGTATTTAGGATAGTATCTTTTTCTGCAGTGCCAGCGAAAATTATACTTATCTCAGTTGTATAAAACTTGTTTTTAACGCGAAGAATTGAAATCAAAAATTTTATTTTGCCGCGCACTCGCTAATAATAGATGCTTCAACGGATTAACACCCAACCACAGCTTTTTTTTTTTGCAATTGTATTCTTTTCTTGAAATTATCTTCTTTCTCAATCATTAACAATGCCAAGATGCTTAACACAAGCTTGCTCTTAAGGCTCTTATGCCCATTGACTTAAGCAAAGAAAAAACTACGTAAAAAAAGTGGGGGGGGTATGCTTAATTCTCTTCGGTACCTTTTGCAGTTGCAATGACTTCGTAATTCGTTTTTCTTTTGTGTTGAGGGAAAAGCTTGTGGTTGCTATGCAAAGCCCACATACTCATTTTTTCAACCTTGATACCAGTTAATTGCCCGTCTTTTTATATTTATTATTAAAAAACCTTAACTGTATTAGTCAACTTCAAACGACAAAACTGACCCACAGTCGCCAAGGCAATACAATCAGATTCCAAAATATTTTTAGGTTATTTAAAAAAAAGGAATCTTTTAATCCGTACTTAACTTTTTTTTATTAGCTAAAACTACCTTATTAAATTCACGCTAATTGTTATCAGTTTTAATATAGAATATTATTTAGTAGTGTTTTCACAGGGTCTTCTTTTAATAAAGAAGTTGGGTTTTAAATCTTTAATCAAACCCAGGAATAAAATCATTTACTTTAAGTAGCAAAAAAATACGCTTAAAATCTAGTCTTTATAGCAACTTTATACAGGGGGTTTTCTTTAAAATCAGGTATTCGCTCATATAATAACTGATCTTACCAGAAGATAATATTAATTTAATTCTTCTCGTAGGCCTAGTGCACTCAAAGTTCGTTGAAAACCAGCGTTTACTCAAGCTAAAAGTTATTTTTAACTATTTTCAGGAGGTCAGCGCGCAGTCGACACTTAATGCTGGTCTAACGCTTAGAAGATAAAAAAATAGCCAAAACGTTGCAAGAGTTACGTTAAAAAACATTTTGCATGAATCAATATAGATAATGGCTTATGAGACTTTTTTGTATTAATTATAAATTTTAGATAAAAAAATTCTTTTTAAAGTACTTTTAAAAGAATATATTGTCAGTTATCGTGTCGAGTTAACTTAAAACTGTTAGTAAATACGTTTTATTTTAAAGTAGTTATAGACTTATGAAGGACATATATATTATACTGTGATAAGTTATAGTTTTAAAAATACAGAGACTGCTGTAATTTCACATTCTAAGTAAATTCTTGGGCATTAATTAAATCAAATTTGGGAGAATAATTCATAATTTTCATTTATTTCGGGTGGACTTTAGCTAAAAGCACTACAAAATAGTTAGTATGTTTATATATTATAAGATGATTTAAATGGCAAATTTAAAAGCCATGAAATTCTTAAATAGCTCAAAATTTCAATTTAAAAAAAAAAATCTTTATGAATACGTTTATACCTTATAAACACAGCAATTACTTATATAGTCGTTAACAACTATGTGCTACCTTTAGTAACAACTAAAAAGTGAGTGATCCATCTATTTCACTCTCACTTTCTATTTATTTTAAAAATTTACATGCTCGGAAGTTAACTTTTTAAATTTTTTTTTAAAAAGGTATAAAGAAATTGAGTAAAAAAAATCTATTTGACACAACTTATTTCTGGTTAAAAATTCTCACAGTTTTTAAAGGACTTACTGAGTCTCAAAACTACAGGTTTAAAGGAAGTCAATATTACTTTGTTCTTCGAATAATTATTAATTATGTAAATTTATTTATAAAAATTAGGTTATTAAATTTATTCAGAACAAGTGAAAAGCACTAGTTAAGCAATTTTATTATATTCAAAGCTGCAGCCCTTAAAACATGCCTTTACTCCTGCATTTGAAGGCGCTAGTAGTTTTGATAATACTTGGCCTAATGAAAAACAGTTTTCATGGTGTTACACTGTAGTATTCAGGAATATACCCTCCTTGCCAAAATTTAAAGGAAACTCACATTTTTAACATGTGGATATCTCCTTTTGGTAATCAATTAAGTTTTGTAAGGTCAATATAAAACCTATTTTAAAACTAATTTTTTAGACCTCCACAATTTATGCCTATAAATAGCATTCAAGGGGCACCGAGTGGTTTTACCACTTTTTGCTTCCGGTTTCCCTCTTGCTTCTTGCGCTCTTCTTAGGTTGTCTTTGTTTATATGTATGTTTGCTAGCGGTTCGGTGCAAAAATTTTATTTATAAATACCTTACACATGTTTTAATACCGACTTTGTAATAATATTTTTATCTTTAATGTAGCTTAATAAAATGGCTTCAGGCATCCCTATCAGCGACGAAAGTTATAATGCTTATGAACGCGTGAAGAACAGAAATCTTCGAGGCGCTATTTTAAAAATTGAAAATAACGAGATTGTAGTCGAAGAATTGTTCGATAATAGTTCTTCCTCAGAATCCACTTGGGAAAATTTATGTAGCAGACTTAAATCTAAGGAATGTCGCTATATTCTCTACGATTTTGAGTTTACGGTTGCATCTAGTAAGAGGAGCAAAGTTTCACTAGCGTTGTGGGCTCCTGATACTGCCAGTGTGAAGGATAAAATGTTATCAGCATCTTCTGCTGAAGCGTTAAAGAACAAATTTGGTTTATCTGTCGTTACTCAAGTTAACTGTCCCAGTGCTCTTGGATACTCAGAAATAGTCCAGGAAGTAGGAAAAAGATCCAGCTAAAATTGGTTTACTTCCCTCAGAGTACTATTAAAAATTTAATGAAACTATTTTCTAAGTACGAGAGCCTACATTTTCTTTTAAAATCTTTTTGTTTACTTTTTTTTTTTTATGTTAATGTCTACTACTTAAAGTAATACTTGTTGTCTCTTTTTACTTAATCAGAGAAAGTTATGAGTGTGACAATTTACGTTAAAAATTTTTTAAGCGCACTTGTGTAATAATACTCTATTATACAGTTAAAAATCTTACTGAACTCACCTTCCTGACCTTTTAAATAATTCTTAATTTCATATAAAATAGGTTTCTTAATAGTTCCTCCATTTACTTGTGCGGAAGCTATATCTACTATTAGTTTTGCATACCGGTAAAGATTTAAGTCGTACAGATTTTGGCGTATAGCGGTTTAGTTGTTCTGATACAAACAGTTATTAGTAAACTTATAAACTTTGTTTAAGTAATAGAGAATCAAAATGTTTAAAAAATTTAGTTAATGGTTTAATATCTTTTAGGTGATTTACTACTCTACTTATAAACATACTACTTAAAGTGCACTTGTTTGTAGCTTACCTACGTTAAATATAGCCTTAAATAGCTCGGAAATATATTTTTCCACCCAAAAGAATGGGTTCTAACTTTTAACTAAGTTTTATTTAGATTAAATTTGAGAGAATGTTATAAAATCTATTGTATAATTGTTTCTTTCCTAATATGATTAATTTGGTAACAGTATATTTGCAGTCCTGACGTGGTTCTTCATAACTAAAATTTTACCGAGTTATATTTGAACCATAAGGTTGCCTTAACAAAAAAAATACTGTAAAGTATAATAACAACTTCATTGCTAAAACCTTTTCATAAGATCATAGTTATGATTATGTTATTAAAAATAGACAGCGGTTGCATTCTACCAATACAAAAATAATGCAAAAAAATATTAGGTTAATTTTGAAGGCGAAGTGTTTGTGAAGAGAAAGTTTTTATCATAAAAGCAATATGCTATAATACAATAACAATTACATAACTTTGTTAAAAACCATATTAAGTAGCTTTACTCGTCCAGTGTTTAGCTTGTAGAGTAATTTTAAAATAATGAGAAAGTCAAGGCGAAACCACAAAGTTGCAGAACTGAAATTATAACTACAAAAGTAAATGCATATTTCGGAGGGCGTTATTAGTCCTTTGTCGTTCACTGAACTTATAACTATAAGACGGAAGTACAGGAAGAAGGAAGAACTGCTCAGTAAAAATGCGTTAGCTTAGATACAGCTCAACAAATTCAACTGGGATGAATCGACTTTTATGCTTCTTTAATTAACGGTTTATAACTTAAAAATAGCATTGTTAGTAATTACTAGCAGAGCACCACCACTTCACTTGTTACAGCTTTTTCCCTATATTTCCATATCTCCCCTTAGTTATGCAATTTAAAACCACCTTTTGTAAAAGCCTGATAAAATTGTAGTTGTTCTATAATTGAAATTAAATTTTACTTAACTAGGCTTTCTTTAATTTAAGTTCAAACACCTAGCAATACTTATAGTTGAATATTTTATAACTGTTTTAAGCAAAATTATTGTCGTTACCACCTTTAATATAGCTGTCGGATTTTATCTTGAAGACTGAGTCGGAAAAACGTTAAATAGAAAATATTTGCAATATGTGATGCAAATGAAAACTCTCTAAGTACTTGCAAACACTTGAAAACTTGAAACTTCACTTATTAAAAGTGGAGGAAAAATAAGGAAAGTAAATAAATAGCAATGCTCTTTTCATTAAATAATACATCGAAAAGAATTTATCTTTTTCTCTATAACGATCATAATTTATAAATGTTAATAGTAGCATATGTAGAAATTCATCAATATAGTTTAAAAGTCGGTTTTATGCTAAAAAAAACGATATGAATATGTAAGAGAAAATTTAAATTTATTAACTTAAGGATAAATCAACGTTTCCTTTATAGAGTATGGGCGTGTAAAGGGATGCTTTGGGATCAATAGGTGAGTAATGCACGCTTAAAAACCGCACGGAACGAGTAAAAGTATCGTATGTCCGCTTTTCCTCTAGAATAACCTTGCTTCATGAAGTATTCGGGGGTAAAGATCCTTAAGGGTTTCCTTCTTGATACTCTACCTTAAACACTCTTGAATTGGCTTGATATAAATTAATAGGAGATAACCTAATTTACAAAGAAAAGGTCCAGGCACATTATCAGAATGTTTTAGGGCCATAACTTAGGAAAGGGTATCTCTACTGGATCTTATGGGCCGCTTCAAATTTAGTATTCGTCTGACTAAGTTTATTTGTTAATAAGTTTATGAATCTTTTCTAGAATGAACTCTTAAAATTTTTTAATTACAACTCTATTCCTATAAACTAAGGCAACATCGGCGCTCAGTCGAATTTAAACGGCCGGTTTGTGAACAGCTAAAGATCTCTAGACTAAGCCTACACTCATTTTAACCCACTTAGCCAAAGTGACCTCAAGCTTAGTAGAATAATAAACCAATAGGCCCTATAGACCGAAATCCCTAGCGCACAAGCGAAGAATCCTAAGGAGTGCAAGCAGAATAAAGATGCTTCTGTATTTACTATATTAATAAATATTTTTATACCAAAAAATTACAAAATTTTGGAAAATTCGGCAACTGAAAATTTAATAATCTGTAGCGGAGCAAAGATAAAATTTCATCTTGAAGAAGAGACCATATAGTTAACTACTCTTCGTGCTGTGAAAAAATTCTAATTATAATATTTAGTTTTTAAAACTTCTGCTTAAAGTTTTTCGGAGATAGCTTATTTAACCTTACTGGCACAATTTTTTAAATTGACCGTAATATCACATATTAACAGGATAAATTTGACTTTTCGAACAACAGGTATTTTATTAAGCATATAGTTTAATCAATTAATTAGTAGCTTATAAGAATAGCTAGGCAACCAAAAATGTCGTCGACCAATTAATCTTTTTCATGAAAATTTATAGCTTTGAGGGCTGCTCTACTAAGGTATAAGTCCTTTCTCCGGTTAACCTGATACACAGGTTGGTAAAAAGAAAAGAAAATCCGTTCTGAAGACTCTTCGTAATGCGTACAATAATAACCTGTGGTCAACTTGCTTTTAAATTAATCTTTTTATGTTTTAAATTTAAAAGTATTTTTGCTCTGAGTTGTAAAATTCTTTAGAGTTGCTCACCTTCGTCTATAATCACCCTTACAGTAAATATTTTTTAACCAAAAAAACCTTTAAACATTCTAGTAACTACAAAACCGATGTAGTTATTAAATTTTTAAAATTTTTAAGTTACTCTTTCTTGAATCTTAAGTGGTAATACTCCATATAAACCAAGATTAAGGAGCAAGCTTTTTTAAGTGGTGTAGGGCCACTTTGCTAAAAATTTAATATAATCGGGCGTGTAACCTGATGACCTAGTATACCTGCTATATATTTGGCATTGCTATGAAAACTAGCGGTGTTATATAGATAGGTTACTTAAATTAGTTTTGTGCTTTAAAAGCAGGGAAAAACAAACAAATATCAGTCTGTATAATGACATTGTTATATGTTAATAGTAATTAAAATAATAGATTTGTTTAAGAATGGCAAAAAAAACTATCATAGATATTCTATCTACGACAGGCTAAAGTAAAAAATACTTTTTCTTTCTATTTAAGTTTATATCTAATGGAAAGCTTTCCGCAAAATTTGTCGGTAACCTTATTCAAAAGCATGTCCTAATGAAGGTTAAGTGTTAAAGGAGAAAGCCTAAGACCAGAAAAATGCTAATAAGTAAAAATGCGGATATAAATTTTTTACATAGGTTAAATTTTGTAATCTATTAATAAATTATTTGTTTTCTTATATACCAGGTTTTTAAGTCCATTTCTTCTCATAACGACAAATTTTAAAATTTAATATTTAGAAAGTTAGATGGTCGTGGTTTTTTTTTAAAGTTATGTTATTACAAAGATTAGACTGGAGATAATGTACAATTAGCAGTTTAACTTTATATTTATATATTTGCATTAGTCCGTTACGTAAAAGAGTTGCTGAGATTATAATATACAATCATAAATTCACATTAATATCTTGGTTTAACCCTCATGTTATATACCTTAATATGTTTCAGCTTATTTACTGAAAATGTAGTAATATAACCTTCATGTATTATATAATTAAAGCCTTAGTTTATTTACGTTCTTAACTCTCTCATATATATAAGTAAATTTTTTTTGACGTTGAGTTAAATAATGGGCTTTATAGAGACATAAAATCATGCAACCTTCACTTTTAAGTGTAAAGCTTCAATGTCTATACAAGGGTAGGTCCTGGCATTATCCATTTAAAGTGACTAATTTTTGTACACCTTTTTTGAACAAAAAAAAAAACCTCTTAGTTATTAAATAATTATCTCGTAGAACAGTGGACCTTACTCATTTACTATAATAACATACATTCCTGCTTCTACTTACAAGGAGTGCTGGCTAATTTTTAATTAATCTGTTCCTCCTTGCTCTTTATACCCTTGAAGCTTTATATATTATTTTAGTAAAGTTTTAGAGCTTTTATATGCCAACACACAGTCCTCTAGTATTCAAAGGAAGTTACCATAATCATGGTTAAAGGTTGTTCATTACCATGATCATTAGAGAGCTGCAATAGCCTAAGATCTTAAGTAAACCTTGTCAACAGTAGAGGTCAACATGACCAAAGGGAAGAAGACTTGCATCTAACTTGTATTTTCCCTGTATTTCCCCTGCGGATGACATCCTTTTTTTCAGCCTTCGATATTTCTACCTACATGAAGATGCGAGGGATGACTGCAGAGCCAGACACGTATATATAGGTCAGATTTTGTTCGGCCGCTTAACTTTAGTAACCTAGGGGTGAAAAGCTATCCTCGCTCTACTAAAGAATGTTGTTGACTACTACGGGGCTCGCAAAATATGAGCTCACAGTACTAAGATTGGACTCAGCGCCTACACCGCTGAAAAATTTTTATCTTTAAAGGATCGCCGACGCGTACCTCGCTGCGGTCGCGGCGATA